ATGAGCAGCACCCGAGGCCGGGAGTTTCATCTCCGCGCCTCGGTGTTAGCGTCCCTGTTCCTGTTCGTGGCCGAGACGATAGCGGCGCTCTACCTGAGCAGCACCTACCGCTCCCATGGGGACCGCATGTGGCAGGCGCTGACGCTGCTCTTCTCCTTGATGCCCTGTGCTCTGGTGCAGTTCACGCTCCTCTTCGTCCACCGCGACCTCAGCCGCGATCGGCCACTGGTGCTGCTCATGCACCTGCTCCAACTCGGGCCCCTATTCAGGTGCGTGCGGAACCCAGAACCCGCCCTTAGGTCACAGCCCCTGGCTGGTCCCCCCCCCCTCTACTGCCCCAGCTGGGGAAGAGGCCTTCCTGAAGGGGACAGGTGGCCAGAACCAGGGCTGCCCTGCCCTGCTTGCCCAAACCTTCCCATTCCAGTCTCCGGAGATGTCCTGGATTTCAGAACCCATAGATGGAATTGCCAATGTTAACTTGAATTTGCTCAAAAAGAGTAGCAGTCTTTGCCTTTTTTCGGTCTCCTAAAAATACGTGGCTTTCTCTGTGGTCAAGTGGACTTCTGCAGGATTGGCATGCGTGGTCTTTAGAAGTTACTCTAAGCGCGGTTAGAGTCAGAGCCTTTATGGGTCATGGGTCATTTGATTTAGTTTATCAAGCACATGACACTTAACTGTGTACCAGGCACTACTCTAAGTGCTTTGTTAAAATTTATTTAATTCATATACAGAAGTCTAGAAATTCATGCACTCTACTTTTCTCTTAGCGTGATGATTATTGTCTAGCGTGAAAACATACAGTACCAGAGATGTCTTCTGAGTCTGTTCAATTTTTAATATAGTCATGAAATCTGGGACACAATGTGCCTTGAAGACAGGAAGTTACTATGTGTTAAGAAAAACTGTTAATGCCGTTTCTGGGAGGAGAAGTTGTTGTTGCTCTTTGTGGTGCTGTGGATTCAGTCCAGGGCCTAGTACAGGCTAGGCAAATGCTCTACCACCGGGCTAAATCCTTAGCCCTGAGAATTAATCTCTATGAACACAAAACAAGAAGTACACAGTAATGAAATAGACCTGATTTTAATCTCAGAATTTGAAGGGAATTTAAATGTATTATTTTCCTATCTTTTATCTTACTGGGGAAATGCGAAAGTAAAAGTTTATGTTCAGATTAAAACAGCATTCACAATATTAAAACTTTGCATGCTACTTTAAACACAACCGTTTTAGCTTACTGTACTGACGTGCAGTTTAACAGGGCAAACTTGGTAAACAGGTTCTCCATTCTTCAAGAACTAGGGATTCCTAGAAAGGACAAGAAATCTATGCTGGTAGCAGTGAGAAACTGCTGCTGACAGGGAGGAATCAGAAAATTGGTTTGGGGGTACTTAGAAAGCATGGCAATCAATTAGCTAGTAGAGAACCCATGTTCCCAAGCAAGCCCTGCGGCCCTGCTAGTTAGTGCCCCTGCTCAAGAAGCAAAGTGAGGTTTGACCTTAGACAAGGCACTCATCATTTAATGTCATCTGTGGGGAGGAAACTATATTTGGGTGGAGTGGCTTGGGGAACTGAGAATTCACAAAGGTTGCTGGTGCTGAGTGGTTTGGTTCACACCTCCATGCCTTAGCTGATTGACTCTTGCATTTGTTCACAGCATATCTATTATTTTGGTGCTGGAAGTTGAATCAAGGACCTTAGTCGTACTAAACCCGTGCTCCGCCAATGCTATAGGCGCTTTCAATCCCAGTCCCTATTTTATACAAGGGGCAAATGAGGCTCTGGAGCATGTTCCCAAGGCTTCCTTCCAAAAGGCAATTAGTTTCATTATGTTCTCTGTGTTCTGTAAAAGAAAGTAGAGTGTTCAGTACACCTTATCAGCAGTTCCATCTTCAAAGCTTTAAATGGTTCATCATTTGTGAGCAAAATTTTTTAAAAAAATAAACAACCAAAAGTAACCAGGCAAGTAAGACTCCTCTATCATTGCTGTCATTTAGAAGTGTCTCTTAACGTTAAGCTCAAGACAAAGCTGATAGAATATTGCTTATAAAAACAGCAACTATAATCTGGGGTTCAAGGGAGTGTATTATGATGTTAAGAACAGTAGTACTGAATGGCAGAGTGTGAGTTTAGGGTTTTTTTCCTCCTAAATATGAACATATGACAAATTTCTCCTTTATTATAAATTCTTTGGTATTCTTCAGTCATCACAGTACTTAAAAAACTTTATTAAGGAAAGGAGTCTCCTATTCTGATATTAGCTGATTTATGTCAAGAAGTAATGGACCCACGATCTTTGAAATGAGACACACAAAATAAGGTTTCAAGACTCTTAGCTTGCAAATGAAAAGCAAATTTGTTGATTTTTGGTTAACAGGACTTAAAAATGATTACTGAGATTTCTTCCTAATGACAGGTTCTAATTTGAACTCTGAAATCATCAGCTTTTCAGAAAGATCTCATTATTCCCTCAAACAAGGGAATCCCAACACTTGTTCCCCTTTACCCCTTAGCAATGGTTTTTAGTAATATTTTCAAGTTGTTTGGGGGCAGTTTACTTCTACTCAAGTTAGGGTAGCCAAACTACCATTTTTAGGGAGATGCTGTTACTGAGTTCTTACAATATGATCCAATTAAAGTGCATACATATTTTATTCTATATAGTGGTTGCCTTAATATGTCAGATCTTTAGTATGGGGAAGATGGAGGTCTGCAATACCTTACACTAATGATCATGAACTATAACTGTTAGCTCACTTCTACCCCTTCATTACTTCAGTGAGTCACTGGCAGCACTATTTAGTTCATTTATTTATTATAATTTTAGTCATATATTTAAATGTTTAGCTACACTTTCTATAGTACTTTCTAATATGAACTTTGGATAGTGTCTTGAATTATCTTTTTTCCCAATTTGAAGGAAAATCTTACTTTAAGTTATATTAAATATTCTGGAAAAACCGAAGGGAGACTTATCTTTTACCCTCTGTTTCCTATTATTCTCACAGTTATGTTAGCTTTCATAATTAGTTCAGAGGAGTAAATATAAATGACTGACAGCAGTAAATCTCCCATTTTTATTACTATCACAATTTA